GGCGCCCGGAGGCTGGGGGCTCCGCTCCGGGAGGGGCGCCGGCGGGAGCCATGGACCCGGGCGCGGGGGCCGCGACCGGAGAGGGGCCGCCCGCGCCCCGGCCCCGCCGCCGCCGCTCCCTGCGCCGCCTGTTTGGCCGCTTCCTGCTGGCGCTGGGCAGCCGCTCCCGCCCCGGGGACTCGCCGCCCCGGCCCCAGCCCCAGCCAGGTCACGGCGATGGCGACGGGGAGGGAGGCTTTGCTGGCCCCCCGGGCCCGGATCCAGCTGCGCCCGGAAGCCCCGGGGAGGAGCGCCCGCCCCGACCCCAGCCCCAGCTCCCCGCCGGCGACGGGGCGCGGATCCCGGGAGCTCAGGGCTTGAAGAACCACGGCAACACCTGTTTCATGAACGCCGTGGTGCAGTGTCTCAGCAACACCGACCTGCTGGCCGAGTTCCTGGCGCTGGGGCGCTATCGGGCGGCGCCGGGCCGCGCCGAGGTCACCGAGCAGCTGGCGGCGCTGGTGCGCGCGCTCTGGACGCGCGAATACACGCCCCAACTTTCCGCCGAGTTCAAGGTAGGCAGCGCCGGGCTGCCTCCAGCCTTGGCCGCTCGGCGGCAGCCACGTTCCGGCCTTTAGGGTTTCCCTTCTGGACCGTTGGGTGCTCCATCAGGAAACGGGTTTCTTGGGGACTTCTCTAGATGGCATTTGCCAGTTAAGCCTCGGATTATCGCTTCTTTTTAAAATTAAATTTATTTTTACATTTTTATTTAGTTTTGTCTGCGTTGGGTCTTCGTTGCGGTGCGTGGGCTTCTCATTGCTGTGGCTTCTCTTGTTGCGGAGCACAGGCTCTAGGCGTGCGGGCTTCAGCAGTTGTGGCACGCGGGCTCTAGAGTGCAGGCTCAATAGTTGTGGTGCACGGGCTTAGCTGCTCCTCGGCATGTGGGATGTTCCTCGACCAGGGCTCAGGCCCGGGTCCCCTGCATTGGCAGGCGGATTCTTAACCACTTTGCCCCCAGGGAAGCCCATCGCCTTTGTTTTGAGTTGATTAGTGTGTCAGCGCTTGAGGCGGGTGAGTGCAGGGAGCTGGTAGATTTGAGCGAATTCAGCATTTCTGCGCTCAGCAAACATTAGCTGAAGTATTGGAGGACTGTTCTAACGCCAGGGATAGAGAGTTTCCACTCAAGTTTCCAGTGCGGTGCGGGGAGTCGGACTTCGAAGGCCAAGGTCTAGGAGGAAGGAGGTGAATGATGAGAAGGACGCAGCCAGGCCAAGATCTAGGAGTAATCCCCACAGGGGGAGGGAACAGCAAGTGCAAAGACCAGAGGCCTGAAGGAGCTGAGAACTGGAGGCATGAGAAAAACTCGGGTGGCTCTTGCCCAGGAGAGTAGAGTGGGGAGGAGATGAGGTTGGCCAGATCATGTAAGGTTTTGGAGGCAACGGTAAGGAGTTGGGCTTTTATTCTAAGCCCTTCGAAAGCTGAGAACCTGTGTGCCAGGTACTGTGCTGAGGGCCTGGGAGAGGCAGTGGGTGTGCTATATTGGAGGTGGCATCCTTTTGCTTAGTGTGAATGAAATCCCCTAGGATGCGTTAGCGTGGGTTTGTATCCTTTGTTCCTGGGGTCACGGTCTACTTACTGGGTATGCTGCAGGGTCATGAGGCTTTGGAAGTTATGTGTATCACTTCACCCAGGATTAAAGCAGGGCATTTGTTTGGGGTCCCAGTTGGATTAAAGAGTGCTGATAATTGACGCGCATGGTTGGCTTCCTGCTAAAAAGCACAGTTCTGGGCAGAGAGCTGAAGCTCCCCAAAGACTAGGGATTGTTGTTCTTGGGGGAGAGGGAACTTGTCAGTGTTCATTCCACAAGCATCACCGCTCTTGAGTTTCAGCCTGAGAAAGCAATCCTTACCATGTGACCCACGAGGATGCCAACCCCCACCGTCCTCTCTCCTGCTTCCACTAGTGAAGCACTGTTCTGCAGGCGTCAGGGGGTCAAATGGGTGTCAGTAATATCTCCTTTTGGCATCATTTGCTTTTTAAATGTGAGAGGCAGTATCCTTTAGTAGTTCAGAGCAAGGTCTTGGTTACTTTGAACAAGTTACTAAAATCTCAACTGTGCCTCAACTTTCCTTATCTGTAAAATGGGACTCTAGTGGTACCTACCTTCTTATAGGGTTGTTCTGAGGGTAAAATGAGCTAATTATAATTCCTCACCTGCAGAGACCTGGAGGGAGGGAGGTAATCCTGTGTACCTTTTCTATTGCTCCATGCATTCTCATCCAGTTACTGCAGCAATGGGAGAGACGGGAGTAACTTGAAAAGTCTTCCAAATTAGTAATCACCCTCCATGACTCACCAGCGTTTCCTGTCTCTCTCAAATCCTGCTCTCAAATCCCTAGAGCCAAGAAGCTCCCTGTGAGCCTCGGGGAGCTGAAGGATAGTCAAACTGTTAATATGTTAGTAAGGGTGTTATAAGCCAGGGGTTCCTGGAACTTTCCTGGTAGAGGCAGCCTTGGAGAGAGTGGGGAAGGATTCCAGAATCTGTGCTTTTAAACCTTGGGGATTGAAATCTAGGTGGGCTCCTTTTATTTTACAGATGAGGAAACATTTATTCATTCAACAAATATTGAGTGTCTAGATACTATACAGGGAGCATGGAACACATGTGGGGTGATGAGTGCAAAACCTGATCCTGGGGCTTCTCTCCTGGAGCTTATGGTCCAGTGGGAGAGATGGATGTGAGTGAAGTAATACCACGGGCCCATGATTAGAACTGGTGACAAGTGCTACAAAATAAAGATGCTCTATTTACAGTAGCCAGGACGTGGAAGCAACCTAAGTGTCCATCGACAGATGAATGGATAAAGAAGATGTGGCACATATATACAATGAAATATTCGTCAGACA